TTGACTCTTTTTTTTAAAAAATCACTTTATCTTTATTTTCATAATTTAATATTTGGCAACATTACATAGTATATATTGAGCAATTGATTTACTAAGCTTGCTCTTTAAAAAATTTATAAAAAAGATTACCTGATTTGTAGGCTGATCCCACATACTGCCCATATTGTAGAATTTCGACCTAAATGAAGGTCAGATTCAGGCCATTGTATCTTAGAGAAACTGACCATTGGGGAGTCATTTTTTCTAGTTCACATTGTTCTTGAGATAAAACTGCTGTCAAACCTAAAACTTCAGCATGTAAACAGTGATATTGCCGGTAAATGTCTAACAACTGGCTCTGAGGGGTGGGAGGATGGGGAGTCCTGGTACATATTATTTGTTGATTTGCAGAGTGAAACATTTCCATGACAGAATAGGAAGACATGATACTGAGAAATACTAAATTAAGGAACTAAGAGAGAAATCCCTGGCAAATATTGAAAGCATTGAGGAGATACTTTATTCTTCTCTTCCTTCTATCCTACTTTTTCAGCTGACCACAGCTCAGAAGCCTTGAGCTTAGTCTGGGAAAATCTTGTAACTGGGGTGCAAGGGTATATGAGCACCTGGCTCTGGGTGTCCCAGATACACCAGGCTTTGCCAGTCACCCCTGACAAAATCCAGCGGCAGAGAGATGAATGGGGGTGAAGGGATTTCACCTTCACCCTTCACTTCAATAGGGGATTTCACCTTTACCCTTCACTTCACACTTCAGTAAGGCAGGGATTTATTTCAGTGAGGCCAGCACTAAGAAGACAGCGAACCAATATCCCAAAGACTGTCTCCAAAGTGCTGAAAATACTTCTAGGTTTATGTAAGAAAAGTGTGGGACCGAAGTTGGTGGGTGTGTGTAGATGGGCAGGAAAGGTCTGTCCATCATAGTTGAGCGGTCAGGCATGCAGGGTCTCACTGGTGTCAGATCAAGGCAGTTGTACTGCTTGATGGGGTAGTTTCAGTTCCTATCACAGGATGCTTTGCCCACCAAGTCTTTTGCCTGAGTTAAAAGATAAGTGGGAAAGAACTTAATGAGTTAGAAAGCATAGACTGAGGCCAGAATGGAGGTAATTCAAGTCCTCTTTCAGTTTCATCTATTTGGAGTGGTTAAAGGACTCTGAAGAACGTAAGGTGGAAATCCTTCATGTTCCGTCAACTGGAATTTCAATTAATAGGTTAAACTTTTCTTTTAAGTTAAATAAACATTGACATCAGATTAAATAATTACTAAAAAGTCAAAGTGAGTCAATGAGAAAATTCCAATGGGGTCTCAAACTTAACAAAAATACTTTTTCCCCAAAAACTAAAAGAGAATTGCAGAAGAACAAATAAAATGATTCCCCATTCTTGAAGAGGAACTTCATAAGTCTTGAAGAGGAACTTCATAAAGAGTGGGTCAACACGGGAGGCAGCTGGCTGGCTGGTTCAGTCAATAGAGCATGCAACTTTTGAGCTCAGGATTATGAGTTTGAGCCCCATGTTGGGTGTAGAGATTATTAAAAAAAAAAAAAAGGAAGAAAGAGTGGATCAATACAGAAAGTCATACATGGAGAGGTTTTATCATTTGAACAAGACAACTGTTTGCCCCTCAGGTAAGAACTTACTGAATGATATGGCATCAGATTTTAGAAAAAAGAAAGTGTAACTGAGCCAACATGAGTTCTCTCCTTAGTGAGTCAGAGATACACCAGCTGGAGTTGTCGCACGAAGTAAACTTTATTTTCAGCAAATAAGGAGATCATGGAGAATAACTTCCAAAGCTGTGATTTCCCCGAGCCAGGGTGAATGGGTTCCTTTTATTTAGGGTTAGGATGAATATTTAGATAGGGAAGCCCTGTCCTCATATAGAGAGGCAGGCATAAGACCCTGTATGCCCCTTAAGGAAACATACCTGTATACACATTGTGTGTTATGTAAATGAAGCTTATGTTCCTCCTTGTGTGGAGACAGTAGTATTATAATGAGGTAAAGTTGGTTGACAGTCATCTTAGAGGTCACTCCATGGTCTACCTGTGTAGGCTCGAGTCAGGGGTTAAGCTCAAACTGGTCTGGGTGGTCTTGGCCAGCTGGTGGTCTTGCCAGGGCAGTTCCGTGGCTGGAGAGGTAGTTTTGGTTTCCAGTTGCCTGAGTTAAGAGATAAGCTGGAAAGGAGCTCAAAGAAAACCATGGGACAAAGGTGGTGGGTACAAGCAGGTGGGCAATAAAGGTCAGATCTTGGAGTCTAGCTGGTGACAACGACAATTCCAGGACAGAGTGAGTCCAGATATTCTATGGATAGGACTCAAATACCTGGAAAAAATATCCCCAAACCAATCATTTGGAGAAAAATCTAGTCCCATTTGAACAAAAATCCTGATCTATAGAAAGCTTATAAATTCTAGGGACAACTCAGTCTTTTCTTTTTGAATATATTAAGTAGTTTTGACCTTTGTTGGGGGTGCCTGGGTGGCTCAGCTGGTTAAGTATCTGCTTCAGCTTAGGTCATGATCCCAGTGTTCTGTGGAATTAAGCCTCCAGTGGGGCTCCCTGCTCAGCAGGGAGTCTGCTTCTCCCTCTCCCTCTGCCCCTCCCATCCCCAATTGTTCTCTTTCTCTCTCTCAAATAAACAAAATCTTTAAAAAAACATAGTTTTGATTATTTGCAAATGTAATCTTTACCAAAATATTACCTCTATGCTCTCTTTAGGTTCATTCATTCATCCAACAGTATTTATGGAGTACATACTGTGTGTCAGACATGGGGTGGGCAGAGTCTTAGGTAAATGGTGGGATTAGATGTCTCAAAGGTCCTTTCAAACTCTCAAGTGGAAACTTCAGGTGGACCAGAGGTAAAAATTGAGGAAAAGGAAGGGCAACTTCTTATAATAGACATCTGAAAATGAAAAATTCTTTAAATATAAGTTTGTTAGAGGTGGCTCAGTCAGTTGAGGATCCACCTGCACTCTTGGTTTCAGCTCAGATCATCATCTCCGGGTACTGAGATTGAGCCCCAGGTGGTCTCCAGGCTGGGCGGGGAGTCTGCTTGAGATTCTCTCTCTGCCTCCCCTTCTGCCTCTATCCTGCCCTGCCTCCTGATCATGTGTGTGCTAATGCTGTCTCTCAATAAATAAAATATTTTAAAAAAATGAATAACTATTAATTTGTTAGGCCATCTAACAATTCTCAGTGATTTTAACATTTGTTTCTTACTGACTGAAATAACAGATCCAACTCGAAAGACATTTATGTAATGGCTCATGACACAGAGTAAAACATTTCTTCCCGTAAGCAACTTAGGAAAACTAAACAAATGCCATGCTGAAAAATATATAGAATAATAAGATAACAGTAAAGTTAAAGGGTCTAAAATATTGGGTTGATTATCTCCTTAAAAATTCCTACCTACGATCACACTGCTTTCCCTTCATTGTGTCATAATGAGTTTACTATTTGTGAAGTAGTTTATGTTTATTTAAATTAAGTACTGCCTGTTACCAATGAGACTGGGTGTTGAATAACTCAGAAAACAACTTTGGTCAGGTGAAGAGAGTGGAAAATAATTTATATTTGTTGAATCATTTGTATATAGTTAACACAGTTAACATTATTTGCATGCTGATAGAACAGAGTCCTAGAACTGTCTTTTTCAAGTTTCTGTTAAATTGTTGATTCATTTGCTAAATTTTCTAGGAAAAACAAATTTTGAAAGCACTTTAATTCTTATCATTTTGTGCCAGTAATATATGGAAACCATGCCTGTATTGATAGTATGACTATATCTGCTGCTCAAAGTGAATTGTTGTTGAAAACCAGGACCATGTTTGCAAAGGAGAAAAACAAACATTACTTTGTTTTTGAACCAGATATAAAAGCCTGAATGCCTTCCATAAGAAAAAAGTTCAGTATAGGATATATAGTGACCGCAAACAGGAAATTTGTCATCCAGGAATTTGTATATGTATTTGGTTTCCTATTATGTATTACAAAACAAAATTCAACCGATTAGATTTGAAGATCTAGTTAGCTTTATTAAACAGTTAGTGAAAAGGGCAGTATCCCATCTAGCAAGTATTGGGGAACTCAAAGAAGTAGTACTGAATGGAAGGTTTTTATAGGAAGGAAGGTGGGGCAAGAAAATTCTTAGCAAGAGCAAAGTAATGTGCCAGGCAAGATCACTTTCCCTTTGGGAAAAAGCAAGGGGTCTTAACATTCAGATAACCTCATCTTCCTTTGGGGAATGGAGAGGACCCATGTGACAGATCACCTCATTGGTACTGATCAGGGAATTCCTGATTGGCCGATTAAATCATTTCTGGGGGAGATCAATATAATGTATGTAGATACCATATTTAGTAAAATTGTCAACGAGTTCTTTCAGTGCTCTGGTGAGTAATTTTTTAAGAAGTTAGATAAATGTGAATCAGTTATTACAGTAGTATCATATTATAAGGGAAATATAAAATTTGGGAGGAAAAAACCTAAAGGCAAATTAGTGATATGGTACTAAATGTCTTTTAAGTACAAAGTTGTTATTGCAGAGTTGTTTTACCTTAGAATTGTCCTACGGCTTTTTAATCACTTTTTATGAAAAAGACATTTCCTTCCCATTTGTTAAAAAGTAAGATTTGTTTAAACTCTGTGTTCTAGAAACTGGAAAGAATTTTATTTCTGGCTGGTGCAACAAATGATACAGAGTTGCTCTTATTTTTTTTCTCATTAGAAAATTATTTGGATATTTCTTAGTTAAAAAAAAAAAAAGAAAGTTTGCTGGGATAAGGTTGCCAAATCCACATTTCTAAGGAATATTTACCTCTTTTCCTCTGTAAATCACTAACACTGGAAATTCGTCTGTCTGACGAATCTCAAGCTAATGCAAAAAGAAAAGTACAACCAAGTCTGTCTAGTCTCTGGGTTAGAACCATGCATGGAAATCAGCTACTGTTCACAACCATTATTCTACTTCTGAAGTCTTGTTTGCTTCTCTTTCAGAATGGACTCAATGCTCTCCACCTGGCTGCCAAGGAGGGTCACGTGGGCCTGGTTCAGGAGCTGCTGGGAAGAGGATCCTCTGTGGATTCTGCCACCAAGGTAATATTTGTGCTGGGAGAATTTATTTCCTCAGAACAGAGGAAATGACTTAAAGTTGTTTTCTCTGGTTATACATTGCAGAGGTTTGCTGGAACACCAAGATGCTTGACAATACAGAACTGATATGCAACTCTTATTACTAAACTTTGCCGAAAGTTGGAATTGGTTCATTTTAGGGTTTTATCGAACATGAGACCGAACAATTCTATGTACCTGGTTTCTAATATTTTGTCTTTTTTCACAGAGAGAATAGATTGATATAATCCTTTATAGACAATAACACATATTTTCCTAAAGTTAATTGATTAAAAAAATATAAGTTGATGTAGTAAACTTCTCAGTGGAAATGGACAAGTTATTTTCATGCTTTGTTATATCTTTTATTGTATTCATTTAACTTGGTAAGAGAATATGCAGAATCTTTTATACTGTAATGGAGAAGAGTTTGAATCATGGATTGAATTATTGGGAAAATTAGATTTTGTCACTCTAATGTGTGTATGTAGAGAATTTGGACTCCTTTTTAAAGAACTGTACAAGGTGTTTGATATGTTAGAAGCTGTTGTTTTTTTTTGTTGTTGTTGATATTCCTTTTACTAAAATATATTTGAATCTTGTCTTTGGGGCATCATTTCAGAAACAAGAGATATTTTTTAAAAATATCGTCAGTGGTGACAAATCCTTGTCTTTGGAAGGTAAAATTTTAATGTGGAGAAAACCAGTAGCCAGTCAGAATCAAGCCTGTTGACCAGGGCTTGAGTGTGACAATATGGTTGTGAGAGAAGCAGAGTAGCTTCAGGCCCTCAAGCCTCCAGCTGGGGCATTACTCTGATCAGGGAGAGACAAAAAGAGTGCTGGAATAAATTAGGAATATGGCCAGTTAACCTGGATTTCTAACACCTCATGCATGCATAGTTGCCAAAGTGTAGACTGGCCCTGCTCACAATATACAGAGATTCCAGTGGAAATTTAAACACAAAATATCTCTGGCAATTCCAAAGAAAAGTTAGAATACAAGTTTACTATAGGCAATAAATTGTCACACACACACACATGCGCACAAATCCCAAATTTGATTCCGTAAGTACTCAGTCTTCTGTTCTTAAACACTGCCCCAGAACTGTGAAGGCTAGAAAAGGAAAACGCGATTATGGGAGGCTCAGTGTTTTGATGGCAGACAACCATCCCTTCCCAAGGTTGGCTACTATCTTGATAGAAGGACAAGCTTTAACCACTTGAAGTAATTCATTAGCCAAACTGAAAGTGCCTGTACATTTGATTTTCTACAAAATTTGGAAACCTCTGACATTGCCTTTTCCGTTTCTCCAAAACAGAAGGGAAACACGGCCCTTCACATTGCGTCTTTGGCCGGACAAGCAGAAGTTGTCAAAGTCCTTGTCAAGGAAGGAGCCAATATTAACGCCCAGTCTCAGGTATTCCATTCAGATTTTCTCTTGTGGAAATGAATTCAAATTAGAACGGCTCTGTGAAACTGATTTAATGCGTTGAGCAGCTGTTGGGCAGTAGATAGATTTACTATAAATACTTCTATTATTTATTTCAGCCAATTATTTTTATTAACTCATGCAATGATATTTCTTCTTTCTTTGATGTATCATGATCTCCCTCTTAATATCACTGAAAATTTGACAGCAATGGTCTCTCATTCTAAGTGCATTAAAAAAGACTATAAAGTGGTTTTTTTCCACAATGACAGTGACATCTGTGAAATATGAATTATTCATGTGAGTTCTATGTTGTGCTATAAAAGTATTTTCTCTCCTTAAATTTTAAACAGGACATTAGCATTCCAGTAGGAGATCTGCTATGAAGTGGGAATCACACTAATTACCTCACACCCCAAATATGGACTTTACAAAACTCCTGAAGGAAACAGGAAAATTCGTGACCCACAGCCTTATGATGCATATAATAACAATAAACTGGATCCCTATTTCCTGAGTGAAAAAATATTGCTTTGCCCAAAGCTTTACCTTTGGTATCTATGTAGAAACTGAGGTTTCTATGTAGAAACTGAGGTGCTTTTTTTTTTTTTTTTTATGAATAGAAATCTGTCAACTGCAATATTATTTCTCTCTCTACTTATATGGACCACCAACTTAATAAAATAAATTTTGGTACAATACTTTAAGCTACAGCTTTAAAACTGTATATATTTGAATGAGGTGCATTTCTTCATAAATCCATTTCTTCTCTCTCTTTTTTGAAGTTTTTAGCCTTTCTGATATAACAGGCCATGCCACAGGGACTATTGGCAAAATAAATCAGTTCCTGTCTGTCTATTCTTTGGGATAATCTCACCAGCTTGCTTTTGAAGGCCTCTGTGTAGAAATATCTGTACCTGTTTAGTTCATTCATTCATTCGTCATGTAGTCATGGTTCTAGAGGTATAAATGGCACAAGTTCTGGATCCATCAAATACTATGGGGCAAAAGTGAGAATCAGCCCTATTTTCTTGGACTTTGGTTATAGGGAACAACCTGTTGAAATTATGACAGAGAAGACATTTTTATTTCTGTAATAGCATACTACTTTAAATAACCACATTTTTCTTTTAAAACCCAAATATGCATCTCTTTTTTAATATTTATTGAAAATATGCCATATTCTAGAAACTTCACTAAAAGAACAAAAATTTTAAAAAGATTTTATTTATTTATTTAAGAGAGAGAGAGAGAGACTGAGAGAGAGTGCATGAGAGGGGAGGGGTAGAGGGAGAGGGAAAAGCTGACTCCCCACTGAGCAGGGAACCTAACTCCAGGCTCCATCCCAGGACCCTGGGGTCATGAGCTGAGCTGAAGGCAGCCGCTTAACTGACTGAACCAGCCAGGTGCCCCTATATGAAAAAAGTTTTTAAATTGTTGCCATCTGTAAAGAATCCCCATATATTTTATAAAGTATAATGGCGTCTTGGTCTTAGAGACAGAGGACTTGCAAAAGATGTTACTGCTCTAAAGTAAGGGATTAAAACCTTTTCTTTAGAACAGCAAGAGAACATCTTTCTGCTCTAGAGCGAAGATTCTCAAACATTCGCTGGCATCATAATCACCTGCAGGGCTTGTTGAAACCCATGATTCTGGGCCCAACCTTAGGTTGTGATTCAGTTCTGGAGTGGGACCTGAGAATTTGCATTTCTCGCAAGTTCTCACATAATGCTGACACTGCTGGTTCAGGAACACTTTGAGAAGAACTGCTTTAGAGAATGTAAGAGAAAACTGGGTATAAGGACTTTGCGGTAAGAGTCACTAACTGTAGATCTATTAGCATAAATCAAGAGTTTGTGTACTTAGGAAGCATGGAAATGAAAGCCTGGTCAAGTTCGACTGCCCATAGGAGGTTCCTTTTAATGGAAAGTTTACCTGCTAACTGTTAGTGCTATTAGTATCTATAAAAAGAACTTAGTTACTTTTCTCAAAATGACTAGTTCAACATTGCGATTTCGTAAAAGTTGATAGGTAGAAAATCCTGTGAGATAAATGCTTGTTAAAAGTTTTATCAGTTATCATACTGTGATTAGTGGAAATGTATATGCTTTGGAGAGTTTTCAAGGAGAACAGGCTAAAACCATTTAATTAGTAATTTGCTTTCAAGAGTCAATGAGCTCGTTCTTTATAGCCATAATCATGCCAGTTGATAACAGATCCTACAGGAAGATTTATATTGTCATTGAGAGACTAAAGTAATCTTTATTTGTATTGTATTTAATTTGCTCAATTTAGATTCATATTATAGGGAATCCTGACAAATAGCTTCAAACTGATTTTGTTTTGTGAGAAAGTTTTGGAGAAAAATTAATAATTAAAACTTAGGGTGTTTTTCTAAATGACTAAGTGATTTGATAAGCCCTCTGACATTATTTACGATATTGAATTTAGGTGGCCTTTACTACCAATTAACAAAAAATCCTATTACTTAAAATATAATTTAGTGATTGAAATTAAGATACAGGAATTTATATAAAACAGGTTGATTATTTTGATCCTGTGTGTGAACAAGTCTAAAGGCATTGTTTCAAGGGCCATTGGGAGAGGATAGGAGTCCTTATCATACCTGATTCTCATTAGTCCTGTCTTGTTTAAGATAGAGATTTCTTAGTTGGTGACAGTGGACCTCAGGTGGATGGGTAGGACTATGCTCATGGTAGACAGACACTTCCTTTTGAGAATCAGAGAAGGGTCATAGGAATACCAAATGCTCAAGATAAATTTTGAATTTTATACTCAAATTATACCTTCTATATCTTTCTGAGAGTGCAAAGCAGATGCAGGATATTCTGTTATTATAGGAGCATTGATAGCTGCATAGTACTTTACCTTTTTTTTTTTTTTAGATTTTATTTATTTGACAGAGAGAGAGAGATCACAAGTAGGTGGAGAGGCAGGCAGAGAGAGAGAGAGAGAGGAGGAAGCAGGCTCCCCACTGAGCAGAGAGCCCAATACGGGGCTCGATCCCAGGACCCTGGGATCACGACCTGAGCTGAAGGCAGAGGCTTTAACCCACTGAGCCACCCAGGTGCCCCAGTACTTTACCTTTGACAAACTTCTGAGTGATTTGGAAATGGACCACTAAGATTATTGAATCAAGAAGTTAAAAAAACTCTCTGGAAAGCTCCAAGGAATAAGTGTTCAGTAAACATTCACAGGGCTCATAGGTTATGGAGAGGTACACATTGTGGATTTTTCTGCATTCGCTACCTAAACTGTAAAATCCATGGGAGGCTTACCTTCACATAAACACAGTGCCAGTTTTGGTAGGCAGAGTCCTTAACTCAGGAAGAATTCCAGAATACCAGCAGAAGCAATTTAAGTATTTTAAGTAGAATTATGTGATCAATATAATAACCCTCAACCCATGTTTAAGTTTCTGTGCTCAGCAGAGGTAGCAGTGTGGTCTCAACTGAGTTGATTGTCTGTATGATTTTAAATATTGCTCAGTCTATGTAGCTCCGTGGCTTGGTTCTTTGCTCTCCTGGATTCGGTAGCATGAAGATCTCATTAAGACCTCCATGAAAGCTCTTTGGTGGAATAATGGGGCTGGAAGTTAAATTAGAATGATTGCAGGAATGCTATTTGCATTGAGGATGGTTGCTTGCTTTCTGACCCATCTTTACTCTCCTATAATCTTTACTAGGCATATTAACATCTTGTAGACCATCTTACAAAAGTAATGCTGGGATGCTTCCTAGCTACTTGTACTGGCATTTGTTTGTCACTTTTATAGTCTATAAACCTATTAGACTCAGAGATACAACTTTTACTTATATTATTTATTTATTTATTTATTTATTTATGATTTTACTTATTTATTTTGGAGAGAGAGAGAGACTGAGTGTGCATGAGTGGGAGGAGGGGCAGAGGGAGAGGGAGAGAACCTCAAGCAGGCTCTGCACTGAGCTTGGAGCCCAGTGTCGGGCTGGATCTCACACCCTGAGATCATGACCTGAGCCGAAACCAAGAGTCAGACATTGAACCAACTGAGCGAGCCAGGAGCCCCAAAGATACAACTTTTAAAAAAAATTGTTCCAATTATATATTATAAAGAAAACTTTGAAAAAATTTTTAAAGACTCTCAGAGTGATGAGTTCCTTTAAATTTTTGTAGCACTTTTTGCCTGAATGATATTTGCCTACCTCAGGTTTACTTTTTGTGATATATGTCTACAGTTTCTGCAAGGTGATATACTTCTTGGGAGGGTGTAATTTTTCTCACTCTTTTTACATTTTTAGAATTTGATGTAATACCTTGCACATTTATGACTGGAGGGTAAACATACACATGTATATTCTTCCTGTGTAAGAATAAGCTTTGTTGTGTATTCCAATCATTCTTAACTGTAGACATTAATAATAACACAATAAATAATATTGACTGCCAGGCACTATCTCCAGTGTGTTGCGTACATTCTCCTGATCTTCATTTATTCTGTCATTATAGATGACAGACTGAGACAAAGATAATTCACTCACTTGCTTATAATCTTCATCCCTGGGCAAAGCTGCTTCTCAGCTCCTATAACACTTGTACATTCCCTACAGATCCTATAAAACAGTTTTTATCATTCCTTCGTCTTCTGGTCCAAACCCTATTAAGGTGCAAGTAAGCAGATTTTCCTGAAGTAGCATCCATGTGAAAGGTGTGAGGTGAAGGATTTCCCCTCAGTGTTTTCTGTGAACTATAAATGTGATAGCTCTGCAAAAATGTTCCAAACATGAAGAGATTCTGTTGTTGCTGCCAAGGAAATCTGGCCTGAGAAATTTCCCCTCTTTAACTTTCTCTACAATAAAATGTCACTTTTTGTTTCTCACATAAGAGTATTTCTCCTTTAGATTTTTATCATATTTTCTAATGTAAAATCATTAAAATCAGAATGTCCCTTGTAATAAAATAGTTACTTTAAAAATATCCTTTTTTTT